CAAAAAAAAATCATACTCTGCTCTTAAATGATTTACCAGCTGGATGTCTGTGTCTCAATCCTGGCCACTGAGGAGACTGAGATCTGAGGATCATGGTTCAAAGCTAGCCCAGGCACAACAGTCCAGAGACTCTAATTTCCAATAAACTATTCAAAAAAAGAAATGGAGCTGTGTTCAAGTGATACAGTGCTAGGCTTGAGGAAAAAAAGCTCAGGGACAGCATCCAGGCCCTGAGTTCAAGCCCCAAGACTGGCAAACACATGTACACAAAAGCCAATTTGCCTACAAATGTTTATAAAGTCAATGGTCTTTATAAGAGTTGACACATAGTGGAGCTATAAAAATAATTTTATATTTAAGCTGAAGTGAATAAATTTTCAAAATTAAAAAGAAATTTCCTTGCAATTATCATACTTTCTGTAAAATTTTGGTTCCCCTTTTCATTGCATTCATTTATGTCCATTTAAGTTTTTTTAGCCTTTTTTGAGGGCGGGGGGACAGCACTATTCCTAAGCTCTTTTTGCTCAAGGCTAGCACTCTACCACGTAGTTAATTGGAGATAAGACTCTCAGGGACTTTTGCCTGGGCTGACTTCCAACTACTTTGATACTCAGGTATCAGCCTCCTGAGTAGCTAGTATTACAGGTGTTAGCAATTGGTACCCAGCTTATGAATATTGATTATCACGCTTAACTAAAATATTGAGTTCCAAGCCATTTAAATTCTGATATATAATAGTCATCAAATTTGTAAACTCCTTGAAGTAGACATTTTCTTCAAGAACAATTGAAGTCTAAACATTTCTTCCTGCTATTTCTTTCTCAAATTAGCTCTTTACTGCTTCCAGAATAAAAGCTTTAGAAAAGGCCTCAAAGGCATATTTCGTTTTCTTCCACTTTTTATTGTATCCTTCACTTATACCAAATTATACTGGGCTCTTTCATTTACCTACTTCCTCATTTAGAGCCGCTTGCTACGCATTTTCATTCTTCTGGTCAAATGGATGTGCTCAGCCTGCAATCTCCTTTTCTGATCGTCCAGAATCCTACCAATCCTTCTAGGTGCTTTACAAATGACATTTCTTCCTCAATCTTCAATACTTATTTCTAGTGGGAATTAAACTTTCTTTCCTGTGTAGTCTATTTAGATTTTCATAATAAGAGAAGGAATAAAGTAAGAAAGATTTAGAGGTAGGAATAGTATTTTGTTTGTTTGATAGCTGTTGGCTTCTTTTTTATTATTATTATTTTTATTGTGAAAATACTGTACAGAGGGGTGACAATTACATGGGCAAGATAATGAGTACATTTCTTACCAAGCATTGTAACCGCCTCCTTTGATTCCCCTTCCCATTCCTTTCCATCCTCCCCTTGCCCCCCCCCCAAGCTGTTGGCTTTTTGAGAAAGGACCCCGCTTGAGGCTAATATCAAATTCATGATCTTTCTGCCTCCACCTCCCAAGTGCTAGGATTACAGACATGTACTGCTTTGCCCAGATCTGAAGGAGAAATACAAAGTTTCAAAGAAACTGACCATCTTTAGAAATCTAATTAATGTGTGATATTCATCCAGATAGAGGAATAAGAGGAAGTAGTCATGGGAAAATGAATAATTGTTCTACATTGAATACATTCTGATACTTGAAATCAGTAACTCGTCTAAGGAAAATATCCTTTTAACATTTTTCTACATTCTAAAGGGTTTTTTTATTTTTATTTTTTTGTGAACATACTGTACAGAGGGGTTACAATTACATGGGCAGGATAATGCGTACATTTCTTATCAAGCATTGCAGCCTCCTCCTTTGTTTACCCTTCACATCCCTTCCCAGCCCCCCCCCTCCTCCCACCAACGTTGTAAAGCTCGTTTTCGACATGACAACTTGTACTTCTCATTGTTGCAACAGGTCCACCTGTATCCTTAAACGACTTGTTTTTCCCCATCTCCTCCACAAGTTATACTGACATCAATATAGTGAAAGCAGGGGTTATACTGTGGGGGAGGGTACATTCTAAAGGTTTTGTATCAATGCTTAGTTCCCTGTGCTTAACTAACCAAACAGTAATTTCTAGTTAAAATGGTGATAGGATATTAATCTACTAGAGAAGATGAAAATCCCTAATTGTGACTTTGGGCAGAATTCATAAATAAGCTTTTGGTTATATACTTTTGTCTCAGATTTATTGTATTTTTATAAAAACAAGGGGAAGGGAGAATTTAGATTATTAAAATACTCATCTGACATTGACTTTTTTAAACATTTAAATTAAATTAATAGATCACAGTTGAAAACTTTGGTGCAACAGAAGTGAAAGAGCTGGTTCTAAATGGTGCAGATACAGCTGTTAACAAACAAAATCGGTAAGTGGACTATAGCAGCGTAAGTGGGAGTAATAACATTTAATAGGTACTTCCTACTGTATTTAAGAAGCTATCATAAACCATTTTTACTTAGATAAAACAGTCTTTGAATTTTCATTGATGAAGTAAATCACCTTGGTTTCTGAAATCCTATTTAAGATATCAATAAAGGAATGATAAAAAACCAAGAACAGTGAGAAGTGAGGAGAGACAACTGCAGACATGTTCTTTTGGAAGCCAGAAAATATTGGTAACTTGGTAGCAAACTGGAGAAAGCAGCAATTTAAAATGGACTGGAGCTCCAAGAAGCTGCCTAGTTCATAGTTCAAAACAAAGTTGCAGGGCTGAAAAGAAAACTTACCATTAGAAACTATATAGAATTTGAAGAAATGGCTGAAATCAGAAAGGTTGGCTTTTATAAAAATCAAAACAAACTCTTTTTCTTAGAACAATAGGAAGTACCCTAACAACTACCCTTATACAACTTAGAAGATTTACCTTTTATTTGAGGTTTCACACTTGGTAGGCAGGTTCTCTGCCACTTGAGCCATGCCCATTCCTTTTTGCTTTGATTCATCCCTTTTTTTAAAGAACAACTCTTTATACACTAGCCTAGCAGCTGTGGCCAAAACAATTGTAATTCTAATTCTACTACTGGCAGGCTGCTATGTAACCATCAGTAAATTAGTAACGTCTTGGTTGTCTCTTACATTGAGGAGAATTGACAAGTTGTACCTACTTGTTGGTGGCTCTTGAGGTTTAGGTGAAGCAATAATCTTAAGATTCGTAGGACTTACCACATGTATGTGCTCAATTAATGTTGGCTATTAGGATTATTTGATATTTTCAACTGCAAATATGTCTTTGATTAAAGCTGTTAAAATGACATTAAAAAATGTAGATCCTTCTGTTCTTTAAAAAAATCACTTGGTTTTGTACATTTTGGCCATGGTTTAGATGTTTTCTACTTTTAAAGTTTCTGTAGTTAAACTCACTGTGATTCCTAAAAATAGTTCATGAGCTAGGTGCCGGTCATCCTAGCTACTTAAGAGGCCGAGAGCTGAAGATTGAGGTAGAAGCAAGCACAGGCAGGAAGTCTGAAACTCTTACCTCCAGTTATTAAACTAAAGCTGTCAGTGGAGGTGCTGTGATTCACATGGTAGAACGCTAATCTTGAGAGAAGAAAAAGAGCTCAGTGCCTAGGCCTTGAGTTCACCCCCAGAAGCACAAAATAAATAACTTACATAGATTATTTAGCTGAAAAACAATTTTAGAATTTGACAAAATGTGTTTGCAAGTAAAATGATTTGGCGTTTTCTACTTGATTACCACTGTCGTTTAACTGGTTTGTGTGTGCTGGACCTGGGGCTTTGGGTGTTATCCTTGAGTTTGTTCCCCTCCCCTGTCCCCCTCTATGGATAGTGCTCTACCACATGAGCCGCAGCTTCACTTGCTGAATTCAGCTTTCTAATTGGATAAATTATAAAATTATTAATTGTACAACAAAGTTTCACCTAAAGGGATTATCATATGCCACTTTTTTCTTTAAGCCCACCAATTGATTTTTATATTGGTCTCCTTTCATCAGTTTTTCCCCTCATTAATTACTTGGTATAGGGCGTGTCCTTTTAGTTTCCTTTTGTATCTTTAGAGAAAAAAAGAGAATCTTTTGACTTACACTATGCAAGTAATGGTTCTTGTTTAAAGTTCTTTTTGCCAGTACTGGTTTTTTGTTTAATTATTATTTAAGTAGTTGTCAATTTGAGTATTCTTCATCAGTGTTGCCCAGTTACTGGGTTTGAACTCAAGAGTTTTGCCCTTGCTAGACAGGGGCTCTGCTGCTCTTAAGCTACAACTCCAGCCATTTGTGCTCTGGTTTTTGTGGGGTAGGCCAGCAATCAATCTTAGTTACCCTTCCTGCATAGCTAGGATAACTTACATGTGCCCTAGTACCTAACTGTTGGTTGTGGTGGGTCTCATCAGAGTTTTACCTGTGCTGGCTTAGATCCATGATCCTCTCAGTCTTCACCTATCAAGTAGATGTGAGCCATCAGTGCCTAGCATATTCTTTATCATTTTGTTACCAGGTACCAGTGACTTATATCTATATACTAGCTATTCAGGAGGCTGAGATCTGAGAATCCCAGTTAGAAGCCAGCCTGGGCAGGAAAGTCTGAAGCTGGAAGTGGAACTGTGGTTCACATGGTAAAGCAGTAGCTTTTAACATAGAAGCTTATGGAACATTGTCCAGTCCCTGATGAATTCAAGCCCCAGCATAGGCACAAAAAGTTTTATTGTTGTTTAGATTCCTTGGAACCTAAGGAAAAATGGCTGAACCTCAAAGCTCCTTTAAAAAAAAAGAAATTACCCACTGTTTGTAGCAGACTAGTCTTTAGTGATACATCTGAGTTGAATAATAAAAATTTTCACTTAGTTCATTAATTTTTTTTTGGGGGGGGGTCCGGTTATGGGGCCTGAACTCTGGGCCTGGGCGCTGTCCCTCAGCTCTTCAGCTCAAGGCTAGCACTCTACCACTTGAGCCACAGTGCCACTTCCGGCTTTTTTCTTTTTGCTTATGTGGTGCTGAGGAATTGAACCCAGGGCCTCATGCATGCAAGGCAAGCACTCTACCACTGAGCCACCTTCCCAGCCCTAGTTCATTCATTTTAAGCCTAACTACTGAGGAGGCTGAGAACTGCAGATAAAGCCAGCCCAGGCAGAAAAGTCTGCGAGACTGATCACCAATTAACCAGTAAAAAGCCAGAATTGGAGGTATGGCTCAGATGGTAGAGCCCCAGCTTTGAGCAAAAAAGACAAGGGAGAGCATGAGACTCAAGCCCCAGCACTGCCACACCCACAAATTATTTTGATAGCCAGTGTCTCAGTCTGCCCATTAGGAAATGATATATATTTGTTTCTAATTGGGGATAGCCTAAGAATCATTGTAAATACTAAATGAAAATTCCTGATGACTGTTGTTATACTGTGGTTTGAACTCAGGGTTTTCACTCTTGTTAGGCTGACACCACCACTTCACTAGTCAGAATTTATCTGTACTGACTTGTCTCAAACTTTCATCCTTGATCTTAGCTTACTAAATAGCTAGGATTATAGGCTGGCTCCCTCTTCTCCCCATTTTTTTTTCTTTTTGGTGATGGTAGTGAGTCTTAAATTCAGGGCATCATGCTCTCACTTGGCATTTTTGCTTACGGCTGGTACTCCATCACTTGAACCACATTTCCAATTTGGGCTTTTTTTTTTTTGCCAGTCCTGGGGCTTGAAGTCAGCACCTAGGCACTGTCCTTCAGCTTCTTTTGCTCAAGGCTAGTGCTCTACCACTTGAGCCACAGCGCCATTTTTGGCTTTTTCTGTGTAGGTGGTACTGAGGAATTGAACCCAGAGCTTCATGCATGCAAGGCAAGCACTCTACCACTGAGGCACATCCCATCTCACACTTGGTGCTTTTGCTGGTTTTAGTGATAAGAGTCTTGTAGACTTTTTGCCTGGGCTAGCTTTGACCCTTGATCCTTAGATTGAAGCCTCCTGAGTAACTAGGATTCTAGACATGAGCCACCAATACCTGACTTTTTCCCTATAATGTGGGAGGAATAATGGGTTTCTCTATCATGACTTTGTCCTTTTAACTCTATCCATTTTTTTTCTGTTTTGTAGAAAAGTAACAGGAAATGCAAGAGCCACCCGAAAGTCTACTGGATTTGTAACTTATACATGCGTCTTTTTTTATTTCTAGGCAGGAATTTGTTGATGCTTATGTGGATTACATATTCAATAAATCAGTAGCTTCCTTATTTGATGCTTTTCACGCTGGCTTTCATAAGGTGTGTGGAGGAAAAGTTCTTCTACTCTTCCAACCTAATGAACTACAAGCAATGGTTATTGGAAATACAAATTATGATTGGAAGGAACTGGAAAAGGTAGGGGAAAACAAATGTTTGACATTAAATAAAAAGAAAAATATGGCTGGGTACTGGTGGCTTACACCTCCATAATCATAGCTGCTCAGAAGGGTGAAACCTGGAGGATCAAAGTTTAAGGCCAGTATGGGCAGAAGTCTTGAAGACTCTGTATCTCCAGTTTACCAGAAAAAGAAGCCAGGCTGCAGATGTGGCTTAAGTAGTAGATTACCACCTATGAGCAAGAAAGCTCAGCTAGAGTGAGCAGCTTATGAGACACATGGCTTATTGATGGAAGTCTCGCCTTTTTATGTGATTTTTTTCCTTTTTTGTGAAATTTACTGTCCTTTTATAATGAACACTTTTTTTATTCCATACTGAATGAGCTTCAACTGTATTATTGTATTTGATGATATTAGTGGTGGTATGTGACCTGGGCTGAATGGAATCCCCAGCCAAAACTAAATGGCTTTTCATTGGCCTCCATCCTAGGAAAATCCTTATGTAAAGACTTTCAAATTATTAAAATATTTACCAAGGTGTTTGTTGGCTCCCTTCTGTAATCCTAGCTATTCAGGAAGCTGAGGTCTGAGGATCAGAATAGTCCATTAGGCTATTATCTCTAATTAACCACCAAAAAGTTGAGATGTGGCTCAAGTTGTAGACTATTAGCTTTGAGTACAAAACTTCAGGGAAGAACCCTTAGGCCCTGAGTTCTAGACTCAGAACTGGCACAAAAAGTCTTTCATAAGGGCTGAGAAGGTAGCTCAGTGGTAAGAGTGCTTGTCTTGCATGCATGAGGCCCTGGGTTCGATTCCTCAGCACCACATAAGCAGGAAAAAAAAAAAAAGCCGAAGTAGTGCTATGGCTCAAGTGGTAGCGTGCTAGCCTTGAGCTGAAGAGCTGAGGGACAGCGCCCAGGCCCAGAGTTCAGGCCCCACAACCGGACCCCCCCCCCAAAAAAAAAAAGAAAAAAAAAAGTCTTTCATAAGAGCTGTATGTGGCTCAGTGCTAGAACATCTTCCTCAAATATTCAGTACACTGAGTTTAATCCCTGGCACTGGATTTTAAAGAAAAAAACTAAACTCATCCCTGCCATTGAGCATAAGACTGGAAACAACCAGTTGTGTTTTAGTAGATGAATAAACTGTGGGACATCCATAGTTCTGTAGAATACTGCTGAACATTACAGTCTTGAATTACTCTTAATAGAATTGTGATGATCACAAAGTAGGGTAAGAGTTTAGTGAATTGGTCTATAAGGCTAATGATATCCTTAGCAGTTGAATCTGGAAAGCCTCCTGCTGGACTGTAAAATTCCATGAGGTAAGTAAGGAGGACTTTGTTCTCTAAACTTTGTCCTGGTGCCAAAAACTTGGACTAAACCTCATTACATAATTGTTGAATAAGTCAATATATGAAGATAAGGGTTGTATTTAAATGGTGAATTCATAAGGGAATAGTTTCTCCAAAAACCCTGATACTAGAAGCATCTCTGATTCTAAGAATTGAAAGTTAAGGTCAAGCTTGAGTTGATTTCAATAAATGATTCACTATGTGAAAAATATTTTGGAGGGAAGTATATTGCTACTCAGTAGCATAAAAATACCATTGTCTCACACAATTTTTGTGGGCCAAGAATTCAAGAGTGGCTCTTTTAGCTAGGTATCCTTGGCTTGAGGTCTCTGATGGTGTAGTCAAGATGTTTGTTACTACTGCAGTCCCCTAAGGCTTGATTGAGGATATTTGCTTTGCCCACATAGCTGTTGCCAAGAGGCTTCATGAGTGTCTTCATGAAATAGCAGCTAAAGCTCATATAGGTGTTTTATTTATGATCTTCCAGAAATTACACATTCTGCAGATCCACAAATCATAGTGATTACACAGTTGAGGCCCATTCATCATGGGAGAAGACTAACAAGGACAGGAGGGCTTAGAGGAACCATTCTGGAAATGGACTATCATAGAGGTAGCATTTAGTTACATGTTTACAAAACAGTTGGCTCTGTTCATAAAAACAGCAAAAGAAAATTTTATGATTATAGCTAATTCTGTATTGAACTTTTAATATTCCTCTAACATTTTAGTAATTTCAGTTATCATTCAAATATTGATAATACTGACCCCCCCCCATCATGTTCTTGAAGTGATGAGATAGGTGTGGTCATTTGTACATCTTTTCTTCTGGAAACTAAGAGCTTTAAATTTCAAAATGTCCAGGAAATACTACATAAACAAACTGCATTCCACAGGTTTCAAACTCAGGTTCCAAACTCTTAGACCATGGTAGCTTTATAGGCTAAGAAAGCCAGTTTACCAGACAAAATTAATATTCCTTAATACTAATGAAATGTTATATTGTTTTTAGAATACAGAATACAAAGGGGAGTATTGGGCAGAACATCCTACGATAAAAATTTTTTGGGAAGTATTCCATGAATTACCTTTGGAAAAGAAAAAACAATTTCTGTGTAAGTATTTCTAACTATTCGATATTTTCTTGTAGGAATTTAATTGTTATAGAATAAGTAGTAGATTTGATTATATAATATACAACAAAGTCCTGTTTTTAAGCTAATTTTTAAAGCACTTATCTGTATCATTAGCATGTGTTTGAATATGAGAATATTTCCCCAACTAAATTTAGTAGGCCTCCAAAACAGCTTTGGATCTTACAAATTTATGTTATATAAACTATAATTGTAGAATCTTTTTTAGAATCCCTAAGATTTTTGGAATGTAGCTATTTTCTGTCGTCATTTTTTAAAAATTTGTTTTAGCACCAAAACTTTGGCAGTTTCTGTGGAAAACAGTTTTTGGGTCTTTGCATTTATCTGTCACATCTGAATTTTATGGCAGGCCTGGTGATGGTAATCCCAGCACTAAGGAGTTCAGGCAGGAGTTTGAGACCTTGCTAAATAAATAATCTGAGTTCTAATTGCAGTTTGACTTGGTGGGACACTTCTTTGTGCTGATATTAACATTTAAGAGGTAGTTTGCAAAGGCGAATTAATGTGTGTCTCAAAAAATTTGTCTTCCATTATTCCTACCTTAGAGCAGATGTTCATGTCAGACTATACTACAGTGACTATACTGAATATTAGTTGCCACTCTTAAATGATTTTCTTGTTGGCAGTATTTCTGACAGGTAGTGATCGCATTCCGATTCTCGGTATGAAGAGCCTGAAACTAGTCATCCAGTCAACAGGAGGCGGTGAGGACTATCTCCCGGTTTCCCATACCTGTTTTAATCTTCTAGATCTTCCAAAATACACAGAAAAAGAAACTCTACGCTCTAAACTGATCCAAGCTATTGATCACAATGAAGGCTTCAGTTTAATATAACTTCAGAGATGAAACTATTCAGTTTAGTGCAAAAGCATTAAACTACTTGTGTTTTTCTGGTTGTGATGAATTCAGCAAAGTGACAAAGGTACTATTATAATTCTTCCCTGTGAAATGTCCAGTGCTATGAGTACTCATGGAAGCCAAAAAATATTAAAGGAATATCAACACAAACTGTTAATACTAAATTTACTGTACAGAACCGTGGAATTCTCCCATCTCCCACATAAACATACAAGTATTGTGAATACATTAAAGTTTTACTAACATGAATTTTAAGAGTTTGCATATTTCAGAAATGATCTGATGTGTGAGTGCATGGAAATGTTGCTTAATTTTTCTTCAATCACTGGGTGAGAAACCTTTAACTTCGGCCTGCAATAGTCATTTAATTATTTTTCCATTTTGTAAATAGTAAGTTTTGTAATAAAATAGTTATTATGTTCTGATACCAGTACAGTTTATATGGTTGTAATTGAGCTGAACTGAATTTAAGGATTAAAAATTATGATTTAAATCTTTACTCTGAGATTCTATAAAAAGGAAAAAAGAAGCATGGTGGAAACAGTCTTTGCATTTTTGCTAGAACAAATCTGTGCAATCCTAAATTACAGATAGGGATATTAAGTAATTTATGGTTCTCTTGTGAATCCTGACATACTCATAGATGGGAGGTTATCAGGAAGCTTATTGATTATTTAGTAATGGAAGAACATTCTCTACAGTTGCCAGAAATAGAAACATGGCCACTATGAGAACCAATCACTGAGTTATAGCTTCCAAACTATTGATGGTGCAGGTTGTATGTAGTCAAAATTTTCAGTGCTTAAGAACTATTTCCTTGAATTTTAACAGTTTTATGGTGCTGATGCTTAGTTTATCTCATGTCATTACATTGTACAAGTCAGTTGATGCAATCCGTGTGACTTTCTGCTATAATACAAATATTTATTTTTTAAATTTATAAAAATATGCCGTGAAAACTGTTTGAATAATAAAGATTTATTGGTTTAATATTTGAACTTTCAGTGGTTCTCCTAAGATTCCAAGACTCTTTAAGAAGGGGGTTACCTCAGGGAAAGTTTTTTAAATTTTGGATTATGTCTTCATTCCCTTATAAATTTACATTTTATAGAGGTATATATCTGGAATTTCAAATTTTATTTTTTATTTTGTAGCAAAATATGAATTATTGAAGACATTGCTGATATTCACTAAATGGACTTATGACCCATCTGGTGTGATACTAATGGTTTAGGATATTCTTAAAAGCTTACTTCCAAAATGCAGATAAGTCCAAGGGCTTGGAGATGGCGATTGTTGACCTGTACTTTTCAGTAGTTTTTAAAGCAACTATTGAATCATGGTTGTATTTTACAGAAATCCATTAAAATAGCATTTTCATTTAAGGTAATTTTCCTTGTAGGAGCATTCTTCTATGCATATAGTTATACTATTTCTGTCTATGCTTTGTGGATGGTGATACTTCAGATGACAATAAAAACACCTAAATGTGTCAGGGACTTTTTTTCATTAGTAATCTTTGTTATGTATGAAGTTGATCTGTGAAACAGCAGCCACTTTGAAATGAGAATTCCATAACCAGGTATTTTAATGAGAACATAATAGCTTACCATACAAGGCTTAATTATTGAAGTAAGTGATACTTCTTCTTCCCCCAGTTACTATAGACTAACATTGTAGCATTAATGACAAGACTACATGGCAGCAAAAAAATACCAGTGAAAATATTTCAACTCTGTGTGTATGTGTGTTGTGCTGGTACCAAGGTTTGAATTCAAGGTCTCATTGTTTTCAGTTGATTTGTAGGTTGATAATTCAGGTGGTAATTCATGCCTTTGGTCCACATTTTTGCTGGATATAAATAGAATCTCACCAGTTTTTGTCTGCCTGAATTGTCTTCAAACTGTGATCCTCCTGGTTTTAGCCTCCTAAATAGCTAGGATTATAGGCATGAGCCACCATTTCCTGGCTTGCCATTTAAGAAGACCCTCCTGCTTTGTGGATCAGAGTATACTGCAAGTGAAAAAATACTGAGTCTGCTATTATAGAAACTATGGTTATTGGGTTGGCTAAACTTGAACCTCCAGATATTTGAGGCAAATTAAGCATCCCAGTGATTTTTTTGTTGTTGTTGTTGGGGGGGAGGGCAGTCCTGGGGCTTGAACTTGGGTCCTGATTGCTGTCCCTGAGCTTTTTTGCTCGATTAGCATTCCGCCACTTTCTGGGTTTTTACTGGTTAATTGGAAGAGGCTCACAGACTATAGCCCTGGCTGGCTTCAAACCACCCCAATCTTCAGATCTCAGCCACCTGTGCCCAGCTGAGTAATAGCAAAGGGGTAAATTTTTTTCTAGGATTACAGATTTTTCTTGTCACAGGCATGTAATCCTAGGGCCAGAGGCAAAGGATGACTAGCAGTTCAAAGGTTAGCATGAGCTTTTTAACAAGACTATCTCAGAATTAATCAAAATGAATTTTTGTACTACTTTAGTTAGGAATGTCTTTGTGTAATAGTATGTGTAGCACAAAGTGGCAATTTTCACAAGGATAGTATATCCTTGTTCTTGGCCAGCTCATCTATAGTTCTTATGTACTTTAGCAATTGAAATCTACTTGTGGTAGTGGCAGTTTTATCTGTTTCCTTTAGCCAGGCTTAGTACAACAATGTTGAGCTCTCCCCCAATTCCATTATAAGCTTTTGTTCAAATCTGAGCAAATCACCTGTATTACCTCTCGGCCCCCTTCCAATCCTGGGGCTTGAACTTTGGGCATGGATATTATCCCTGAGCCTATTTGTGTTCAAGGCTAGTGCGCTACCACTTAGGCCACAGCACCACTTCTGGCTTTTTTCTGAGTAGCTTATTGAAGAGTCTCACAGACTTTTTTGCCTGGACTGGCTTGGAACCGTGATCCTCAGGTCTCAGCCTTCTGAGTCATGAATCACCAACACCTGACTCTTGAATGTTTTCTGTTGCTTTTTCATTTTTGTACAAGTCATCCCCTGTGTGACTTAGGTGAGGCTCGGGCTGTATGTACCTTAAGTAGTTATTATAGTCATTTGACAGGCTCCCAAGGGAGAGGACTATTACTCCTTGTCTCTGCTGATACCGTAATTTGATTTGAGCTTGCTGTCGGTTTGCAGGTACCGGGCCTGATTCAGCTGTTTGTTTTAACTTGAATGTGGAATGATGAAACCCAAAAGCTGGACAAATTTATACAAGTTAACAGAAAAAAAAGTCAAATAACAGTTTTAATAGACTTTAAAACAGTGTACAAGTATAAAACACTGGTTTTGTATTTCAAAAGTTGGAGGAAGTATATCCAGTCATTAAACAGTCTACAAAACATATGCCAGTAGATTACATAAAAGACTATGTACAATATAAAAGAGCTGAAAACAGTCTTCACTGTAAAAATAATTTAAAACAAATTTTTCAATTTAAAATATCATCTATAGCACAAACACACCATGCAAATGGAAAACTAAATATACTGCATTCTTTAGTGTAGCCAAATAAACTCAGTTTGAGATGTCTTTTAGGTATGGAAATGACCATTCAGTAAGAGTTTTTCTCTGGCAATAATGGTCCTATTTGGGTAGTAAGCAAAAAGAACAGCTGAATTTCAACCCCCTTTTTAATAAATACTAAACCTAAACCAACATAGGAATACTTCGTAATTTGGGAGTAATGCTCAAAAAAATGGGTCTGTTAAGCACTTACTATGTAAGTTTGCAGGTATGAACTTCAAAAGGCTAGAAGCTTGTGCAGTTGAGAAAAATTATCTCTATTTAAGGCAGGCTAAGCTTTTAAATAAAGATACCTTATAAGAGCTAGCTAGTTTCATAAACTATTCTGCTATTACAATCAATGTTCATCTTCATAATACTAGGCTAGCTGTTTGGTATTCATTCCATTTCACCAAGTCCTCCCAATAGGAGACATGTACTTTCTGGCTGAGTTATAACTTATTACTTTGGAACTGTAATCAGGGAACTGTTGCTCTCCTCGTTAATGGAAAAACAGCAGTCCAAAATATTACACACTCCCCCAGTAGAAGTACCATTATAGATTCAAAAAGGCTTTGCATATTCACACCTTGGCAGTTTAATACTCTGAAAAAGGATCAATGCAAGCTCTACCACAGTGATAGGTATTTAAACAACAATGGCAAACACTCAGAACTAAGGGGATCAATGCAGGCACTATTGTTTCTAAAGCAACTGAAACATTTCCAAAGCATTTATTTGTTTATCAGGTTAGTTTTATGAGCCAATATAGACATTACTACATGTCCTTAGGAAGTACAAAAGCCATTTTCATTTGAATAATAAATACAATACTTTTGAGCACCAAGTATTACACCAGGTGCTTTCCCACACATTGCTGACTTCGTTCTCATCACATTTCGTATCATTTTTTTTTTTGTCTTAAAAAAGTTAGCTGCCACAAGTTTTGGAAGATGCCAGTGTGTAAATCAAAAAGTTCAAGGACTTCAAACCATTCAATGTTACAAAGAAAAGTGAAGATACCATTCTTTGGTCTAGATAAGCTGTTCCCTTTACATTAGCATTCCAATGGCTTTTTGAAAACTTTTAAATGTTTAAACTCACTAGGCAAAACCAAAAACTATATATACATACAGATGTATCATACAAACCTTTAAAAGAAAGTTTTGACCAACAGCTGATTAAAGATACTTAGTACCTTTTCTTTAAAAAGTGTTAGTGTTGAGTGTACAAGAACAGATAATGGTTAAAAAAATTACCCATGGGGAAAAGATCTATTTTATCAGTCTATACATATTACACCTTTCTGGTTTCCTTGCTCTACTGAGTTCACAAGTTAAACATTCATTTTTGACATGCTGAAATTCCTAATGCTGGTGGAGCAATTCCTGTACCTGGACCGATTACATTATGATTTGTTTGATGGATAGCTCGTATCTGGTGCTTCCTGTTTCATTGATATAGCTTCATTAACTGGCTCTTGGTCATTTCCATCAACCCCGAATCCAGCTCCTCCATCTCGCTCTGGGATATCAGCATCATCTTCCAAGCCATTGTAGAATTCTTCAATCTCACTTTCATCTTCCATATGTTCTTCTAAACTTGGACTCTGGCATGTACCACTATCACTGTTACTGCCACATGAACTAGAGGATAGGATATCATCTTCAGAGTCTGAATACACCTCAGCCCCATGGAAAATGTAGCGATTTGGTGGTAAAAACAAATACTGATTACCTGAAACAGCAAAAAACACAAGTTACTTTCAGTTTCCTGATACTGAACTGAACACTGATTAGAGTCAATTAAAGGTCTTGATTTTTTAAACTACCACTACTGGAAGCTATTGCTTTTATAAGTTTGGTTTATTTTGGGGGTGGGGGGAGGTCCAGTCATGGGGCCTGAACTCTGGGCACTGTCCCTCAGCTCTTTAGCTCAAGGCTAGCACTCTACCACTTGAGCCACAGCACCACTTCCGGCTTTTTTCTTTTTGTTTATGTGGTACTGAGGAATCGAACCCAGGGCCTCATGAATGCAAGGCAGGCACTCTCCCACTGAGCCACCTTCCTAGCCCTGGTTTTTTTTTTTTTTGGTCGGTCATAGGGCTTGAACTCTGGGGCCTGGTGTCCCTCAGCTCAAGGCGAGCGCTCTACCTACTTGAGCTACAGCACCACTTCCGGTTTTCTGGTAGTTTATGGAAATAGGAGTCTCACGGTTTCTCCTGCCCGGGCTGGCTTTGAACCGCGATCCTCAGATCTCAGCCTCCTGAGTAGCTAGGATTATAGGCGTGAGCCACCAGCGCCCGGCTTGGGTTTTGTTTTTCAATAGACTGTTAGTCAAATCTTAGTTCTACCCCTTTCGAGTTTTGTGAACAAGTATCTCCAAGTCTGTTTTCCCATCTAGAAAATTACACAACTCTTATAAAGTCCAGGAAAAAAAATGTAGAGGTTCAGCTGGGTGCCAGTGGCACCCATAGATACTCAGGAAGCTGAGATCTG